CACAGAGGCAGGTGGATCCGAGTCCAGTCTGGCCTACACAGTTAGGCCCTGTCTCAGGGAAAGAAACAAAAACAAAAGCTGTGAAATGAATCTAAAGGATGTTTTGTCTAGAGCTAGGAAAGTGGCTCAGAGATTAGGGGTTGGAGCCACTCCTGCAGAGGACAAGCAACCAGGTGGCTTACAACCACCCACATCCAGCTCCTGGGGGGTCTGAGGCCATGCTCCCACCTGGACTGGCTGGTTACCAGAGAGGACTCAGTAGCCAAAGGTAGCCAATGGGGCTGGTTTCTGGGCAGTTAGGACTGGCATTGGACTCTTCTGTCTCCCCCTTGGGTCTGGGGGGGCGACGGAGAGATGGTCACCATGACCAATGGGGCAGCATTTGGCCTTGGGCGCTCATGTGACCGTGCACTCAGGCTGCGGTGTCGGCAACTACTTGGACTGAGGTAGGAGTTGGAAGCCCTGAGGTTGGACTTAATGAAGAAGAAGCCCTTGGGACCCAAGTCTGGCCAGAGGAGGCGACCTGGTGGCAGCCAGTGGGTGTGGGATGAGGTGGCTGAGAGCCGAGGGATCAGAAGCCCACAGGCCTTCATTGTGCGCCTGTCACACTTCCTCTGGCTTTATTGCTTTTGTCCAACACCCTATTGTCTGGTTTCCTTTTGTCCCAGCTTTCAGCACCGCTGCCTTTTATTTTCCAGCCAGCCTGGTTGTTTTCATTTCTTTTGTCTGAAGTTCCTGAGAGGAAGGTTTTATTTTCAGCGGTTTGATTAATTCACAGCTTGAGCCCGGGTTTGTTTGTTATGTAATTGCTGCCCTCAGCTCCAGGATAATACCCCCGCCCCCACTCCTGCCCCCCTGCGGGGCTTGGCTCCCAGCCCCTCTCCAACCGGATGGGCTGAGCTGCCTGCTTTCTGCAGGTTCTCCAGGCACCCCTAGAACCCCTGGCCAAACGGGACTGGGGTCTCTTTTTCTCTTCATTCAGGTGAGATGGGGACCAATTAGGGTCAATTAGCCTTCTCTTGCCCTGCTCTGTCCTGGGTTCCTGAGGCATCTTGCACTCAGAAAGTGGGTGGGGGAGTCTGCTGTGGTCTGATTTAGGATGCAGTCAAATCAAATACATATGTATATGTCTTCGCCTATTATAATATTCCTGTAGCTATCTTAAAACACCTTATGTATTCTGTTGTATACAAATCTGTAACTGTATCATTCGGTACACAGTACCAGAGCGGTGGGTGTAACTCTGTAGACTACAGTGTACTCTGTACAGGATAGATGTGATATATATAAATGCACTAGTCCCTTTATTTTCAGTCTCACTTAACATGGTGTCAGGTTTCCACTGTGATCTGAAACTATTGGATGGAAAACCTCAGAAGTAAATAATTAATAACCTTTGTTTTGTTTTTTGTTGTTGTTTTGTTTTGTATTTTGAGACAGGGTTTCTCTGTGTAGCCTTGGCTGTCCTGGACTCACTTTTGCAGACTAGACTGGCCTCAAACTCACAGCGGTGTGCCTGCCGCTGCCTCCCAGAGTGCTGGGATTATGCGCCACCATCACCGGCCATAGTGTTCTTTTGTTTTTGTTTAAAATGTGTTTGTTGTGTGTGAGAGGGAGAGGGAGGTACTTGTGGAAATCAGGTGACAATTTTTGGAGTGGTTCTTACCTTCAACATTTTCGTGGGTTCCAGGGATCAAACTCAGAAGTACAGGCTTGCCCTGTTGGGCAGCAAGCGCGTATACCTGCTTGTACTGTTGGCCTTATTTTGGTGTTTTTGAAACAGTCTCATTGGGCCCAGGTTGTCCCTTAACTCGCTGTGTAGCCAAGGATGACCTCGAACTTGTGACTTTTCTGCCTCTACCTCCTGAATTCCGGAACTACAGGTGTGCACCGTCACCACACCCAGTTTGCTGTTGTTGTTGGCTTGGTTTTCATCTATAGCCATGGCTGTCCTGGAACACACTCTGTGGACAAGGCTGGCCTCAAACTCAGAGATCTGCCTGCCTTTGCCTCCCAAGCACTGTAACTAAAGGTGTTTGCCACTCCCCCTCCACTCTTACCCCCACCCCCACCCTCTCCCTCTTTCGTTTTTGCTTTTTTTTTTTTTCTTGTATTGGTACAGCCAGTTTTATATGGTGCTAGGGATGGAATGCAAAGCTTCATATACTCTAGCACCTGAGTTATACTCCATCATGTATGTTTGTAAACAGCACACGTTCTCAGAAAGCATGATGAAATCTTAAACTGTCGAGGCTGTGGATCAGCCTTTGTCCAGTGTATCTCCACAATGTGTGGGTGGCTTAGTGGCATCTCTTTGGTCAGCTGTTGTGACTGGAGCTCAGCGTTTGTGTCCGTTCTATTCCTGGTTTACCCAACACTGTCCCCATCCTGCAAGCCTAGTGATGCTGGAATCCAGGTGCTTGATTGGAAAGTTGAAAGTTGAGGCTGGAGAGAGAGGTGGCTCATTGATTAAGAGCTCTTACTCCTCTTGCAGAGGACCGGGGTTTGGTTCCCAGCACCCACATGGTGGCTCTCAACAACCTGTAACTCCACTTCAGAGGATCTGGTGCCTCCTGTGGCCTCCACGGGCACTGCACATGCCTGTGCACAAACAGTTCACTCGGGCAGGACATGTAAAATAAAACAACAAAATGAAAGGTCTTGAGAGAAGGAAAAATTGTTTGCTAAAGTTGATAAAACCTAGTGCGAAGACAGCGACCCTGGAATGTGCAGAAAAGAAAAGGGTTTTGTGTCATTGTTGTTGCAACTCAAAACTGCAGACACAACAGCTTTGGTGTGGGAGCATGGCTTGGTTAAGCTGGGGAGTAGCGTGGCTACAGGAATCCGCTAGGGGTGTGCCCATGAGGTGGCACTAGTGTGTCGCACCGCCTCGGCTGTTTAAGTCTGTCACTGCATCCGGTGGTTGCCCTACACCTGCCCTATGTGTCTACGTCTATATCTTTTCTACCATTGCAGAGGTTGAAAGACAAATGCCATTTAGCTTTATACCTCATGGCAGGAGGGCACAGGAATACCAGTCAGCTAATAAACTAATCAACTCTATTTTTCAATAATACCCTCCCCAGTGATGACATTAATCCAATTGTGAAGGCAGAAGACTCCTGACCCAGTCACCCCTGATCAGGCCCCACCTCCCAAGGCTTTTGCAAGAGGCCAGACCCTTATGTCCCACCAGAGCACAACTCTGAGTGCTTCCCTGAGGACTGTCAAGGATGGGCAGCCGCTACTCTGGCCTCCTCCCTGACATGACCCTGAAAACTACTCTGCCAAGTCCTGCATATGTTCACCCTCTGATGGTGCTGGGTCCTATGGCAGAAGAGGAGGCAGCTTCACAAGTCTACCAATCATATTGCAAGTTGGGCATGGTGGTACAGGCCTGTGATCCCAGCACTTGAGGTCAAGGCCATCCTCAGCCATATAGTGGGTACTAGCCAGGGCTATCCGAGATCCGAGACCCTGTCTAGGAAAACAAACATGTAAAAACCCAGGGATGGGGGAATGACGAGATTTACTCTGTGGCTAAGAATACTTGGTGCAAAGAACCTGTCCTAAGACTACTTGCGGAGAACCTGGATTCATTTTCTAGCACCTACATGGTGGCTCACAACCAACCATCTGTAACTCTAGTTCCAGGGGATCCAATGCCCTCCAGGCACCTAGCGTAAATACGGTGCACACATATAGTCAAAACACTCATATACATAGCATAAATAATTAAAAAAACATTTTTGGAAGAAAAATACAGCCAAGAGGCTGAAGAGATGGCTTAGCAGTAAGCATGCTTGCTGCCCTGCAGGGAATAAGAGATCGCTTCCAGGCACTCACATCTGGTGGCTCACGACCGCCTTAACTCTTCCATCTTCAGAAGGTCCATTGCCCTCCTATGGCCTCTCTTGGCACCCACATATCCACGAACATGCACATAATGAAAAATTAAGAGAAAATATTTTTAAAATTCTCACAAAATCTCCAGGCCTGGCACTCCAAGTGTCAGTGCCAGTGGGGACTCTAGCTATAAAGCAGAATATATTTTTGAATGCCATTCTTCTATATTTTATAACTTGCAATAGATATGTGATGTACAGATATGTGTCAATATAAAACATTTCACTTTGACTTGTCTCTACAATGAGAAGAATAAGGAGTTGTCTGTAGCTTTGTGGTAGAGCAGATACTTAGCTTGTGTGGGGTCCTAGGTCTGATACTCAAGGACACTAAAAAGAATAAATGGCTTGTCCTGGGGAGTTGGCTTTTGGCTTTCTCTTGGTCAAGATGGGAACTAAGGCAATCCATACCTGGTGTGTGAGAGCTCCTGCCAGTTCTAGCCAAGTTGGTCATTGGACTGGAGGTTCAAATCCAAACTATTTTATTTTATTTATTTTATTTTTTTATTTTTATTTTTATTTTTTGGTGGAGGGGAGGGTTTGTTGGAGACAGGTCTCACTGTCTAACTTTGGCTTTCCTGGAACTCTATGTAGATGAGCCTGGTCGAAATCACAGAGGTTGACCTGCCTCTGCCTCCCGAGTGCTGGGACTAAAGGCCTGAGCAACCACCGCCGGCTTTCAAATTCAGACTCTCAGGTTGTTGACTCTTGATCTTAAGCCTTAGTAACTAGCTGCAGTACATATGTTTACACACATACAATGTTCAGTTCTCCTGGGCTCAGAAACAGCCAGTTAACCCTCTGTGGCATCCTCCGCCGAGCCCTTACTAGACACAGCATCACAAGAAACAGGGAGTGGGCTGAGGGTGTGGAGGCAAAAGGAGCAAATGAATGTCAGAGGTGGGATGCTCCGATGGATTTTAAAGATGAAAAAAAAAATAAAAATAAAAAGGCAGGTTTTAAAGCAGGCTTATGTTTCTGACATATGCATCTTTGAGGGGTGTCAGGAGGTGCTTGGGGAAACAAAGGATGGAGGCGCCTCCTGGGGGCAGGTAGACCTCAGTCACTCAGTGTCCCCTGTCCTTCCTCCCGCAGGATGTCCATGCGGAGCCCCGTCTCTGTGCAGCTGGCCCCAGACAGTATTAGCACCATGGTGAACTGCACGGTCAAGTCTGAAGAGAAGAAGGAACCTTGCCACGAGGGCCCCCATGGCACAGCCGCTGCAGTGGAGCCCCGGCCTGGAGACCCAGCCCTGGCTGCTCAGGATGCCGCCAACTCACAAGCTCCAGCTCAGGTGCCCAGCACTTTCTAGGGACCTCCTCCCAGGGTCAGCATCCCCACTGCCTTTGTGGCTTCACACCTCAGGCCAATCCACCCTGTCCACTAGGCCTGCGTGCTCTTACCTGGTTTGTGTGCAGCAGTGGTCTCTGCAGGGGCAACGTAGGGCCCAGGTCAGCCCCAGGTGGGCCACCGTGGTCAGGCTGGAAACCGGGTCACTGTCAGAGTAGGACGGGGCTGGTTCCTTCTGTCCCTACCCGAGTGACTGTTCCTCAAAGGAGACTAGCTGGGGGATGAGATACATCTGGGAAAGTCAGTCTCTTTAAGCTGGGGTGAAATTGCAGCTCACAGACTATAATTTCCTTAAGACAGGGAGCTAGGTCTGGAGACATGACTTAGTCATGAACATGCTTGCTGCACAAGCATGGGGATGGAAGTTTGGATTCCTAGAACCCTGTCAGAGCCCAGAGCGTGTGGCAGCTGCCTCGAGGCAGAGATTGGGAGTCCCTGGAACAAGAGCTCTGTCAGTGAGAGGCCTGTTTAGTAAATAAAATGACAGATGCCTATCAAGTCTAGGACTCAGTGCACACGTGCACACACGGATGTGTCCCTGCACACACATGTGCCCACAATCACACGGGAACACACACAGAGATGCATTTGCACACACATGTGCCGATACTCACATGGGAACACATGCACGTCACACACACACACACTTAGAGGAGAGGGAACTGAAATAAATGATAGGGATTCTGCAGGTCTTCTGTTTCCATAAAGGAAATTTGATTTGCTGACTTGAAGGAGGAACTCAGTTTAGAAGAGTGGGGATGATCAGGGAACACATCTTGGAGGAGGCTTGGGTTAGATGAGACATGGAATAATGCTGCTCCACCAACGCTGCCTCCTCGTTTTTTGTTTTTGGGGGGTTGTCGTTGTTTGAGACAGGGACTCTATTGTGATCAGGCTGGCTAGGAACTCACAGAGACCCACCTGCCTCTACGTCTTCTTCTAGGATTAAAGGTGTGGGCCACCATGTCTACTTAGTTGAACGCTTTTTTAAAGATTTGTTTTCATTTGTTTGTTTATTTACTTACTAACATTTTTGGATTTATTAATTTTATGTGTATGAGTTTGTGGCCTGAATGTGTATAAGTGTCTATGTGCCTGGTGCCACAGAGGTCAGAAGAAGGTGTCAGACGCTCTGGAACTGGAGTGGTTGTGTGGGTGCCCACACATGTGGGCATGGGAAACGGAACCTGGGTTCTCTGTCAGAGCAACAGATGTTCTCAGTCCACTGAGCTATGGCTTCAGTCCCTGGCATGCGTGTGTGCGTGTGTGTGTCTCTGTCTGTCTAGGGTTACGTGCACATGAGTGTACAGTTGCCCTCAGAGGCCAGAAGGGGGTGTTGGCTCCTCTGGAGCTGGATGTGTAGATGTGAATACTGGGAACTGAACTCTGGTCCCCTGCAAGAACTCTAAACTGCAAAGGCATTGCTCCAGGCACGGGGACGACTTAGGGAGGCCACCGTGGGTAAGCAAGTGGCCTGGCTGGGGGAAGGAGGAACGCATGGGTTCATAATCATGACTAGCCGAGGGTGAGCTCGCAGTTCGAAGGTACACATGCTGGAGAAGGTGTGGTGGCCAGGGACTTGAGACAGCTGGCCATACTGTCTATAGTCTGGCAGGGGGTGGGGATGGTGGGGTGGGGGGAGGGATAAAACAATCCAGGACCCTCCATTCAGGTGGAATCTTCCCTTCTCGGTTAAACCTTTCTGAAAACACATAGACAAACACAGGTACACAGAGGTATGTTTCCATGATAAACCCATCATCAGCCCTTCCTGGCATATTGACCCCTTATTCAGATGCTTTAGGATATGGATCGCAGGGATGACTTTCAGAGAGCTGTCAGGGGCTTGTGTCAGATCCAGCCCACCAAGCCTGGCCTGAAATCTAGATCTCTTATCCCCAAGTCTGTTCATTTCACTGTATCATTTATCAGGTAGTATGAGCAGGGGCTGGGAATGTGAGAATGAACAGCCTTATCGGTTGGGCGCATAGAGTCTCAGGGTTCTTCAGAAAGGACGCCTTTGTGGCACTCGGCCCTCTCTGTACTGAGTGCTCCATTTCATGGGAGGCAGCAGTAATGCAGTGTGTCTTGCAGGACTGTGCCTCACCAGAGAGCACTGGGTCCCCAGACCCCAAGAGACCAGCAGCTTCTGACGCCGCTTCAGGAAGCCAAGAGCGGTTAGACTTCAACCGCAACTTACAAGAAGGTAGGCTAGCTGTCCTGTTAGAGTGAGGTCTGGGCTACTCTCTGGTGGGTCCTGACCGCGCACTCCCTGTGCCTTCTTCCAGTTGTACCAGCCATTGAGAAGCTGCTGTCCAGTGACTGGAAGGAGAGGTTTCTGGGAAGAAGTTCAGTGGAAACCAAGGATGTCAAAGGTTCGGGCCTACATGCAAAGAGCAGGGAGGGCTTTTCAGTGCCTTTCCTGCCTGGCCTAGTCATGCATTCTGGGTAAACAGGGCAGTACCTCGTACACCTGTCCGGTGTCCTAACGCCCACCAGCTTCTGAGGCTTATCACCATGCTTCACCTGGACCTCTCTACCTCTGTAAGCAGCGGTCTGGCCCATCCCCAGGTGAGGGAGGCCTGGCTGGAAGCAGATCCCGTGGGATGGATCTAGGCTCTCATTCGTGACCTTTGGGACTGAGGCTCATCATTCAGCCTTCCAGGCCTCAGGCTAAAATGTAAGCTGACAGTTTCTACTTACTGTTGGCAGTTGAGGCTAGACTTCCAGGACCTTACTGAGAGCTGCTGCTTACCGAAGAGTGATCATTTTCTCGGTGTTGGCTACCACACCCACAGTGGGAGCTTTTAATCAGTGCTTATGCTTCCCCCATTTACTGACTGGGAGCCTGAGCTTCAGCATTTTCCAGAGGCATTCTGAGTATAAACGGTCCCCGGTTCAGCTCTTAGGAATAAACTGACAAGTCAGACAGCCAGGTTGGAATGGTAGGCAGGGACGTGAGTAAACATTGCCAGATACTAGACAAACAACTCTTCACACATTAGTTCGTTCATCCTCAAACTAACCCTGTGAAGTGACTGTCATTGTTCCAATCAATGGATTTAAAAAAATTCACCTAAAGTATAACGAAGCTGGAGACTGGGCAAGCAGGATTCTGGGAAGGAGCAGTTGTCAGATGGGTGGGTTGGGCAGAGAGACAGGTGAACTAACAAAGATTCTCATAGTGGCATTTCACTGTGGAGCAGGGACCCAAGAGAGCCTGGCTGAGAAGGAGCTCCAGCTTCTGGTCATGATCCATCAGCTGTCTGCCCTTCGGGACCAGCTCCTTACAGCCCACTCTGAGCAGAAGAACATGGCTGCCATGCTGTTCGAGAAGCAGCAGCAACAGATGGAACTGGCCCGGCAGCAGCAGGAGCAGGTGCCACCCGGGGCTGGGTTCAGAGTCCTCTGTGGGGAAGGGTGACTACCCACAACAGGAGACCAGGTTCTGAGAATTGGCGCTCTGCTCTGTCCCCTGGCACTCAGCTCTGTCTCCCTGCGCTCTGCTCTGTCTCCCTGTGCTCTGCTTTGCTCCCCTGCTCTCCACTTGCCCTCCTGGGGAAGTCAGGTTAGGCTGGGACAGACACGGGAGGAAGGCCAGGGCCTTTCGTGATTCCCTTGTCGACTCCATGCCTCGACAGATCGCCAAGCAGCAGCAGCAGCTGATTCAGCAACAGCACAAAATCAACCTCCTCCAGCAGCAGATCCAGGTGATGATGGGACACCTCAGGCTGAGGGTGACACTGGCCCTTGGAGCCACTGGGAAAGGGGGCTGTGGAACAACCCGTGCCCCCTCCCTACCATCTACTCCCCACTTGATGAAGAGGCCATACTTTTGCTCCAATTCCCTCTGATTTTAATGCCCTGATTTTAGGGGGTGACCCAGGATGTCTCCCCCACCCCCAGTGAGACTCAAGGACAAGGAGATGGGTTCACAGAGGTGATGTGGGCTCAGGTGGATCCTTCGGAAAATTATCCCTACTCTATGTCCTGTGTGCACCCACCCTACCCCAGGTCCTGGCTGACCCCAGCTTGGCAGCTCTTTGGTCTCCAGGGACTTACAGTGCGTTTCTTTGCCTTCAGCAGGTTAACATGCCTTATGTCATGATCCCAGCCTTTCCCCCAAGTCACCAGCCTTTGCCTGTCACCCCTGACTCCCAGCTGGCTTTGCCCATTCAGCCCATTCCATGCAAACCAGGTGAGTGGGCAGGGAGGGGCCCCACAGAGGCTGCTGTCTTGAGATGAGGGAAGGAGCCCAGAGTTACTCTTCATCTGTTAGCTCGCTGGGCCACAGTTTTGGGTTTGTCCAGTGGAAGAATAAGTCCTTCCTGAACTTGGCTGGGAGGATGGGAAGGACGAGCACACTGCAAAGCACAGAGAGGCTAGGAGAGAGGAGGCTAGAGAAAAGTTGGCGGGGTGAGGGTGGTATGGAGGGGGCTCCCTGAGGAGGTGATCCTTGATGATTGGGTTCTGGGGAAGGGCTGGGGTAGGAGGCTCAGGGGAAAGAGGTTGCAAAGGCGTGGAAGAGTGGCAAGGATGGGGGTCTGTTGAGGATTAAAGCCTGGGGCCCGGAGAGTGGGTATGCTGGAAACGCTTAAGCAGTGAGTGTGTTGTCCCTGGTTGCGGGAGATGGGTTGTGGGAGATGTGGAAGAGAACACATGGGAATATCTTAGTGAGTTCTGGTGACAACGCCAACAGACAGAATTGGGACAGGGCAGACCTGCCGCCTGTAACTGCGCCAACAGGATGGGTAGCAATGAAGACTAGTCTTGATCTACTGTCCCTGTTCCACAAGCCCACGGCATAGAGTACAAGCTCCCAGCCACAGAGCCGGCTGGGTTGAAAGCTGGGTTCATCATCCTCGCCATGTCTTCATGCCTTACTACCCCATCTCCACCCTAGCTGGAACTAAGCACCCTGACACACTTCCTGTGGGCCCTTATCACCGCCTGCCCTGTGGCTAGAGATTTGTATACAGGCTTATCTCTGCTCAACTGTCACACCCCCTTGATCCTAAGCCTAGTGAGACAGGGTAGGCAGGGAGAACTGTATAGGCCAAGGGTAGGTTGTGGAGTCTAGACCTGGGTTCAGATCCTGGTGCTGCCATTTAGTGGCTTTGCGGACAGCCCACTGAACTTACGAGGTCTGTTTCCTTACCTGGGTGATGTGTTGAGAATCCTGACGAACACACCTGTAAAATGAGACTGATGTTTTGAGCACCTCTTACTTGCCACATGCTTTGACATGGAGGGAAAGCACACACAGGTGTTCCTCCCAGCACAGTGGTTTGGGCCCTACACATAGCAGGTACAAGACCCAAGTGTGCCCTCCCTTATATGTACTATGGGAAGCTCTTTAGAGTGGGTTGGAAAGGGCCAGCACGGCCATCAGCCTGCAGGAAAGGTTTAGTTCCTTCAGCCTCGTGGGGAGAGGGCATAGATGGTCCGCTGTGCTGTGTTAGCCTGATGACAGCAGCACCCACTCGGCTCTGTCCACCTGTGTGTGGTGCTGGGACCTGTCACTCAGGTGCCTGCTGGTCTGGGCTCACCTGGACGCGCCCCTTGCTGCTTTTCTTTCCACAGTGGAGTACCCGCTGCAGCTGCTGCACAGCCCCCCTGCCCCTGTGGTGAAGAGGCCCGGGGTGGCCACCCACCACCCCCTGCAGGTACTCCCATGCCCACTGCCGCCTAGGGCCCCTCCCTCTCTGAGCCACTGCCCGCCTTTGCTCAGGTTGTTTCCCTCCTGTTTGCTCTGAGCAGGTGTGCCAGTCTCACTTTCTCCTGTCTGTCCCTCGATGGGGGGAGGGGCTCCTCCTTTGGTGTCTTCTCACTCTGTCTGTCTGGGTCCTCAGGAGCCCCCTCAACCACTGAACCTCACAGCCAAGCCCAAGGTGCCTGAGCTGCCCAGCACCTCCAGCTCCCCCAGCCTGAAGATGAATAGCTGTGGGCCTCGCCCCTCCAGCCATGGGGCTCCCACAAGGGACCTGCAGTCCAGCCCCCCGAGCCTGCCTCTGGGTGAGTTTTTTTGTTTGTTTGTTTTTTAATCTGCTCTCACCTAAGAAGATCTTTGATGCCACCTTGGGCAGTCTCTTCCCTTTCTCAGTTCCAGTCTGGGGTTTTAAACAATTCTAAAGCACTCCATCCCTGAGCTCCACCCCAGCCTCTGCTCTCTTAAAGCCAGGGACGAGGCCTGCTTAGAGGAGGCCTTCTTCCAGGTCCCTTTGTCCTCCAGGATTGGATTAAACAGCACAGGGTCAGGCCACTCCGTGAGCTGCAGATTTGGGAGTGCTGCTTCATTCCCACCGTTTAGCACTGTTCAACAGGAAGTCCCAGAAGGAGGTGTGGGAATGGGCAGGGGGATGTGCCTCCACAAGGAGTTCCTAGGGGTGACATGGCAGGAGGCATAAGATGTATGGGTTGCTCCTGGGATTAAAGCCCTCAAGTCCCCTGTCCCTGCCCTTTACTTTGCTCCCTCTCCATCAGGCTTCCTAGGTGAAGGGGACGCTGTCACCAAAGCCATCCAGGATGCCCGGCAGCTGCTACACAGCCACAGTGGCGGCTTGGAACACTCCCCCAGCACCCCATTCCGAAAGGTACAGTCACTCTTCCTCTTTCCAGAAGTCAGGAACCAGTGAGGGAAGGTAAAGACAAGGCGGTGCAGGAGGTATCAATGTACAAGTTGTCTCTGTTCCCTGCAGGACCTCATTAGCCTGGACTCATCCCCAGCCAAGGAACGGCTGGAGGAGAGCTGTGTGCACCCCCTGGAGGAAGCCATGCTGAACTGTGACATGGATGGTGAGGGCTCTGGCATTGGGCACCACTTAATTCCACTAAGGCTGGGTCTGTCTCTGATCCTCTCCCCCGCCTCCGTTCTTGGGTCCTTCCTAGCATGTGTTTCCATTGTTCCCTGGGGTCTATCCAGAGGGTCTGCCTTCTGGTATCTTGTGACTACTCCAAGGGTCCTCACAGTTCTGGTTCCCTGCTGAGCCTGTTCTCTGGCTATGGTGGGCCTCTTGCTTACTGTTGGCCTTTGCTTTCCTCCTCGTCCTCTACTTCCTGCCTTGCTATTCCTGAGCTGACCTCAGTGTGAGCTTCATCAGTGCCTCCTAGTGGCCGAGCACTTGCCTGCCTGACTCTACCTACCCGTCCTCCAGGCTCCCGCCATTTCTCTGAGTCTCGGAACAGCAGCCACATTAAGAGACCCATGAATGCCTTCATGGTGTGGGCCAAGGATGAGAGGAGGAAAATTCTCCAAGCCTTCCCAGACATGCATAACTCCAGCATCAGCAAGATCCTTGGTAAGGGCCAGGGCCGGGCCCTCTCAGGGGGATGAGTTCAGTGGGACTGGGTCGCAGGAACCACTCTTGCTTTATTGAACCCTGGTAGAATCTCACAGGGTTTAAGATTCTGTAGCAGTTGAGCTGTGCTGAGCAGCTGGATCCCAGGACCTTGTGCCAGTACAGGGCTCTTCTGGTAGTCCCAAGCCTCCCCTTACCACCCCCATATCGCCAGTGCCTCCTAGCCTGTGCTGTGGTGGTATACGGGAGACTGGTGTCTTGGACCTTCAGTACAAAGACTTTGTGTCTCAGACTGAGGAGGAGGTGGGGCAGACAAGCCCAGTAAAGGTGGTATTTTCATGACTGAGCCTCTCTGGTGGCAGCACTGGTTTCTTGCCTGGAACACCAGGGTTCTGTTTCATCTTTGCCATGCTAGTGATACAGCCTAGAGCCTGGCACATTCTAAGCGGGTGCTCTGCCACTGAGCTGCACCTCAGGCTGACGCTGGAGACTTGGTGGCCTGCAGCAGCTTCTCTTTTGGGAATGCCCTTGGGACAGAGACCCCTCAGGGGTGGCCGAGTTATTTGGCCTGAGGGTGGTGCTGACTGCCTGTTGTTGCCAGCCTCATCCCTTCCCCCTTGCCCAACATCCAGGGAGCATCCACACTAGCCCAGGCCCTTACTGAGTGCTTATGCCTGTATCAGCTATTGATCCCCTATTGAGGACCAGGATCCAGTCAGGACTTCTAGGGCCTGGGACCTGGGAGGGGGACTCTGAGAGTCTGGCCCTGAGTTCTCACCTGGGGTTGGATCAGGCTCTCGCTGGAAGTCCATGACCAACCAGGAGAAGCAGCCGTATTACGAGGAGCAGGCGCGTCTGAGTCGGCAGCACCTGGAGAAATACCCCGACTACAAGTACAAGCCAAGGCCTAAGCGTACCTGCGTGGTGGAGGGCAGGCGTCTGCGTGTGGGCGAGTACAAAGCCCTGATGAGGACTCGGCGCCAGGGTGCTCGCCAGAGCTACACCATCCCGTGAGCAGGTCCTCCCTGGGGGCCAGAGGCAGCTTGTGGCTTGCTGTGAGAGGCTGGGTTCGTGTGTGGCTGGCCTTTGCATGAGGCAGGCAACCGGGCCTCTGCGTGCAGGTCTGTGTGTCTTCTGCCTGTGTGTGATTCCTGGTGAGAAGGGCTGTGTGTGATACTGGCAACTGACTGTGGGCCCCTGCTGCCTGACAAATGCAGGGCAAATTCAGATGCACTACAGGTGTTCTTCCTTCCCATAGGCAGGCTCCTTAACCGTGGCAAGCACTGTTAGTGGAATGCTGTAGACAGTGACACAAAAATGAAATCATATTCACATGCCACCTTCTAAAAATACACCCACAGCTCTGCATTTTCCAGCTCTAGCTGACAGTGAATTTGGCCATCAGGAAGCACACACAGGGGCCAGGGTTTGCCGGGACTGGGGTTGGGATATGTGCCTGTGAGGCCTGGAGGACAGCCAGTGGGGGAGGGTGGGGAGGGCTCATGGGTACATCTGTAATTGCATCTTTCTCCGCCTCTCAGCCCGCAGGCTGGCCAGGCACAGGTGAGCTCCTCAGATATCCTGTTCCCTCGGGCAGCAGGCATGCCCCTGCCACAACCACTGGTGGAACACTATGACCCCCAGGGCCTGGACCCCAACATGCCCGTCATCATCAATACCTGCAGCCTCCGGGAGGAAGGGGAGGGCACAGAGGACAGGCACTCAGTGGCTGACGGAGAGATGTACCGGTACAGCGAGGACGAGGACTCGGAGGGTGAAGAGAAGAGTGACGGAGAGTTGGTGGTACTCACGGACTGATTGCCAGCTAGCTGGGCCTGGCCTGTCACCACTTGGGAACAGACTCTGTCCCCCACCAGACGGGCACAGCCAGCCTTCCTGAACTATGTTGGTACTTGGACTTGGGTGCGTCCAGGTGATGGATGACGCTGCACACTTGTAGATACATTCCCAAGGTGGTGGGCAGGGTATCCTCCTCTTCACCACACCTTCTGAGGAACTAATGGCCTAGCTGGGTGGCATCCATGTGGCTGTGATGAGCCAAGCTGGCTGAGGTCTTTGGCCCTTGGGGCTAATGGCCAGGGACCACTGGATATATGCCCTTTTGTAGGGCCACCTCCCCGAGGGGATGTCAGGTACACACCTGTCCCCCTGAGGTCACATGCTTCGTTTCAATTTTGTCTTGGCCAAAACCAGCCATTGTGGGACAGTCAACATGTCTGCCCTACAAAGCTCCCAGGTCACCCCTCTGTCACCTGAATCACTTTGCACTCTGTGCAGAGCTGCTCTTTGTCTTCCAAGTCCACGTGCCTCTGGCTGCTGTGTTAGTGTGTGTGTGCCCACATTTTCATCTCGCCACTCTTAGCAGGAGGTATTTGCCGAGTGTCCGCTTTGAGCCAGGCATGTTGATGAGCTCTGTGATGTGTCTCTTGATGCTTCTCTGGGGGCCTCTTCTGTGTTTCTTTGTCCCCAAATTGCTACCTCTTTGTCAGTCAGGTGTCTCAGGTTCTGTGTGTTTTCTCCCTGCGTGCATTTTTCTCTCTTCCTCCATCTGTTCCTGCCCCCACCCCACAATCACTGTATTCTCTGGGTTTTTGTAGGGCCCAGCCTGCCCCTGGGACTGGCTGTTTCCTGACCCCGTGATCTCTTTCCTCCCTCCTGACTTTGCCCGTCAGCTCCCACAGAGCCATTTTTAGCTCCCAGTACCGTGAGAGTGTGCCTTGGCCACCAAGGAGCTTGGTCCTGATTCCTGAGTCCCAGGCATGGGGGCCAGAGGACTGATGGCTCCTCTTTTTGTCAGTGACAACCCTGCAGAGGAGACCACATGGCATGTTCCATCCTTTCTTCATGAGCTTGGGCTGGGTTCCTTTCTCCCCGACCCTGTCCTGGGGAATGGGCTTCACTTGGTTGTTTCCCAAGAAAATCAAAGACTAATGAACCTAGCTCCAAAGATCTGGAACAGCCCCAGGCCAGGGAGATAACCCCAAAGGCCACATGGCCAGGTTGCCCCCCCCTTTCCCCACCTTGTGACCCTATTTCTCTCCAGACTGTTTCTATGACTGTAAACATAGATAGTGCTTTATTTTGTTACTAAGAAGATAATGATGAATAACTTAACCAGCACATCTGTTTTCTGATGGTATAATAAAGACCGACCATTTCAGAGGCTGGCCTGAACACATGCCTAAATCTGGCACCAGCCAGGCACTGCTGCCCCCTGGTGGCAGCACATGAGTGCATCAGGCAAAGTGCCTGGCAGTAACGACTTTGACAGGGGGGAACCAAGGTCTGTGAGTGACACACTGACCCCGAGGGAGGCACTGCAGCTGCCTGGAGAAACAGCATGCCCGTGCTTCACCTCGTGTCCCACCTGAAAGCAAGAGACTTAAAACTTCTCTGTGACTCTCCCTCTCTTTTGGGAGAGGGAGCCACTTAAATCCAGTGAAAGCTTTGGGCTCCTCCTATAAGCTGGTTCCCACACACTCAGGAAACTCTTGTGGGCTCCCTGCCATACTTAGTAAGGGCTTAGGGTCTCCAGTGACGTTCCTTAAGACTCCATGAGCTTGCACTCTGAATGGGATTTCAAAGGCATAGTTGTGATGGTTTTCATCGCTGGAGACAGGGCTAGATGAAAGAACAAAATTCTTCAAAATTAATGGGTTCTATAGGACAAGTCTTGGTTGTCTTAATACCATCAGCATAAAATGGAGGAAGCAAAACTGAATAGCAACTCTTGAGAAAGAGATGGGCCAGGTTAGCAAAGGCTTCTGTTCTTGATGAGGGGGTTTATGGGACAGTGTGTTCTGCAGGGGCTCAGTCCCAGGTATATCAGCTCAGTCACACCCCCTCTTTAGAAAAAGCCACATCGTTTGGAGGGGCCCAGAATCGGCCTGTGAGAATGAGGGATCCTGCTAGGTATATCCTTAGAAGAATGGTCAGAGAGGGCCCGGGCCATCCAGTCCACAAAATGGGGCAATAGGAAAAAAAAGCGTTTAGAGCTTCTGGGTGACAACGACAGAATCTCTGTGTATCAAGATTGAACCTGAGCTGATAGTCTCAGACACACACACTCAGAACACGAGAACTAATAGTGCAGAGTTGACATTACAAGTGGTTTCTTGGGTTTACATGCTGGTGACATGGTGGGTTTGATGGATTAAGACCACACAGTACCAAGAACTAGGGGCAGTCATTAGGGGAATGCCCTGACTCCTGCCTGGCCTGTTCTTCAGAGCTCTGGCTGCCTTTCCTTGATATCTTCACGCCCTGGTGCCCTGTCCAGCCGTGAGGCAGGGGCCAATAAGAGACCAGCCAGGTTTCTGGAAACTCTTTGGCCTTTGCCTGGCCCATTAAGTGGGCACTAAAGGGAGCTACTTGGCTCAAAGCCCTACCTTCACTCCAAACTCCCACCTCAGTCAAAACTAGGTCCCATAATATTGGGCCTCCCCAGTTCCTTCTGTTGCCCTACTGCTGGTCCCCTGCAGCCTGGAGGGTCTGGGCACTCGCTGCCAAAGGCACTCTAGATACCTTTGTGCACAGACCTCATCCAGTTGCTGTGTACTCACCACCCAAGTCCTCTGGCCAACTGGAACCTTACCCTGCCTGTGAGAAGCAGGGCAGGTCAGATGAGCAGAAACAGAATTATGTTCTGGTCACTGCCAGGACAGCTGGCCACAAGATGGCCTGGCCCCTGTCTACCTCTCCACAGGCCAAGGGTCAGCCCTGGAAAGGCGGCCTTGGCCCGGAGCTCCCACCTAGGGTGATAGGCGAGAATGGGACTCTGGCTTTGTGGTGTGCTACCCGGCCCACTTCCCCTTCGCTGCAGGATGGTGACTCCAAGGGCGTAGGGGCCTGCACATGAAGACAACCACACAGGCCAACTTTGCCCTTGGTTCCAGGTGGCTGAAAATAAGGTGGGCATTGCTGTGTAATTACGTCCATAGCCACCTGAGTCCACAGGTGACATTGGGGACCTCTTCCCAGCCCTGGCACCATCTGTATGCCAGGGTTGTCTCCCCAACTCCCTCCCAGATCCTTCATTAGCACCCTCTGGAAGCCTTGCCTCTACTGGAGCATGTGACCTTGAAGGCTGCAGCAAGGATGACATCAGAGGTGTATGGGCTGCTGGACCTTAGCTCAAGCAGGAGTGGACTCCAATGGCACAGCAGAAGGGAGGCTGGCCCCACTCCTCCATGTGCTTACCAATCACACTACAAGCTATTGTCCTTGCAAGACAGATTCCTAGAAACAAACATTTTAATGCAGAAACACATGATCATTTACAAATGGATCACAGCAGGGGCAGGGTCCATACCAGACCCCCTAAGGAACCATAAGGACTAAGATGATGCGGATACTGAGCTGGCAACCCCTTCAGTGTCTAGCCATGCTCGGGCAACTGTGCTGACCTCAAGATGCCTAGACTCTGCCCCTTGCCTTTCACTGTTCATTCCCAAATGGGAAGACCTCAGTTAAGTTCAGAATCGAAGGCAGAGATGGACAGATCCTTGGAAGGGAAAGAGGTGGAGGCTGCTGACTCTGGTACCTGCCCCCAACCCAAGACCATTCCCTCTCCTCTGCAGGAACCTAGCAGAAGCACAAGGAGGGGAGCCGGGGAAGGGGTGACTGGATAACATCTGGCTTGGAGAAGTCATCAGCCTCAGACGAGGCAGCTGCTGGCGGAGCTGTCAGGCCCAGCTGGGAGCTGTGCCCCCAAGATGACAAGCAGAGTTGTCTTACTGCTGGCTTGGAGCTCAGCACCTCTCACGTGGGGCATACATGGCTCAGTTAGAGGCTGGGGCACCAGAGGTAGAAATGAGCCCTTCCCCTCCCCTACTAGGAAGAGTCAAGGACAAACAGAGGCAGCTCAAGCTCCAAGGGGGCTTGGGCTGAAAAATGGTGTGCTCTCACAGGGACAGCTCCCAGCTCCCTGCAGGCACTTCCTCTCCAAGTTTGGCAGGGTGAAGGGGGCACAATGCTGGGTCTCATCAGCCTCTCCAAACAGGAAAATGAGGTCTTCATTGGCATCCACTGGTGGGGGGGCTTTTCCATGGATGCCCACCTTCCCCAATGGTGCCAACTCCAAGGCAGAAGGGTACCCTGGGGAGCAGGTCCAGCAGCAGAAGGACATGGAGGAACAGGAGGCTGGTCACTTTGGCATCTCCAAGGCCAACACCTGAGGCTTCACCTTAAAGTACTGGTTGAATCGGATCACTGCGTACCTGCCAGGGACAGGCAAGGAAGTGGTTGAGCAGGGAGCCTTCAGCCTACTGAGGACTGACTGCCTCCCAGCTCAAACCCGTCCAGGTCTGGGCAAGTCAACCCTTTGTTTTTTATTGTTTATTTTGAGACTGGGTTTCTCTGTGTAACCCTGGTTGTCCTGTAACTCACTATGTAGACCAGGCTGGTCTCAAACTCAGCGATTCACTTGCCTCTGCCTCCCAAGTGCTGGGATTAAAGACTTGGGCTACCACTGTCTGGCGAGGGCAATTTTCACTATCATTTCTTTTCTTTAGTCAGGCTGTAGCAACGCTCCCCAGAATGTGTTTAAAGCGTTTTGTTTTTATTATCGTATGGTGTTGATAAATGCCTGTTGTTTCATAGTGGACCTCCAGAACATTTTATCTTTCAAAGTTAAAACTTAATTTTTGCCACTTTCTGGTCTCAGTCCAGTGACTGCTCTGCTCTGTCCCTGTGCGCATGACTCTGTCACCTCTCACAAATAGTCCTAAGGCATCTGTCTTTCTGTGGCTATCTCATTTCATCTAGTATAGTGTCCTCAAGGTTCATCTGTGTAGTGCATGGCCAAATTCTCTTCCTTTCAAAGCCAAAATGATGTTGGCTTTGTTGGCTGAATGAATGTTGTTCATTCAGGTGAGGACACTCAGCTACTGGGTGTGCAAACACTACTGTGAGCCTGTACTTCTGTTCTTTGGGACATACATCCACAGAAGGATTGCTGGGTCATACAGGAGTTCTATTATTGTTGTTGTTATTGTTATTATTATCTTGGTTTCTCGAGACAGAGTCTTACTAAGCAGTCTGGCTCTGCTGGAACTCACTCTGTACAACAGGCTGGCCTCAAACTCAGAGATCCTCCTGCCTCTGCCTTCTGAGTTCTGGGATTAAAGGTATACACCACCCAAGTTCTGTTTTTCAATGTTTGAAGGGACACTCTTCTCCAGAGTGGCTGGGCCAGTTTGCATTCCCAGCAATATACAAGGGTACCGGTCTTCTCTCATCCTTATAAATGCTCTTGATTTTCTGCCTTTGCTGGTTTTATAACATACCCCATGTATTCCCCAGGATCTGAGCCAGCATGGTGATAACCTTTACTGAGGGTAGATGGGAAAGAATGGAGGGATTGATTCCCTGCCTGATTTAATGGACCCCCAAGCTGTCACAGAGTTTAGATATGGTCCCTAAGCCTCAGGAAGAGGTGGATTTAAGTGGGTCTAGGAGGCAGTTGGGTCAGATCTAAATTACCTGAGTGATCTGTGCAAGACCCCTGCACACTGCAGCACCTTGTTAATTTTTTAAAAATATTATTATTGTGTGAGTGTAGGGTATGTGTGCCGCAGTACATATGGAAATCAGAGGACAACTTTGGGATTCAGTGTTCTCCCACAAAAAGTGGGTTCTAGGAATCACACTCAGGTCACCAAGCTGGGCAACAAGTGCTTTACCCACCGAGCCATTTCATCAGCCTTCCCTCCTTGTCAGGCTCTAGCCAGGCGGCAGCAGCTGAGTGGGCCCTGAGTGGTGGTTCTTAGCCTTCCTAATGCTGCAACCCGTCAATACAGTTCCTCATGCTGGGGTGCCCCCAACCAGAAAAGTATTTTCATTGTTGCTTCGTAACTAATGTTGCCACTGTTGTGCATCGTAATGTAAGTATCTGGAGATTTGCCAAAGGGGTTGCAGCCACAGGCTGAGAAACACGGATATGGAAAGCTTGTTAGGGGATGGGTTTTAACTTCACTAGGCGTGTTGGGGCTGTCCAGGCAGCCCCTGCTGGGGATGGGTCAGCTACACGCTGGAAGGGCTCTGGCATTCTGTTTTGACTGGCTTTGGTCATGTGGTGGCCAAGGCTCTCCCTTTTTTCTGCCCCACACCCATCTTCCCTAACTCCCCATACTCACCTGAGGAAGTCAAAGCTGATGGTGGAGTACTGGTTCTGTATGAGTGCCCAGAGTGCCCAGAAGAAATGGGATGCCTGCAAACAGGCCAGAGGGGGTCAGCCCTACCAGGCCACACTGGTGTCACAACCCTTAGCAAGAGAGACACAACCACCTTGGGTGTTTTGCTGAGTTAAACACTGGCCGGTTTGGGAAGAAGTGGAGGCTAGACCACTGGACAGCACTTGGGGACAGGTAAAAAAGACTAGCAGACCCGATTCTACCTGGAGCCTAGCATCCAGGACAGCAGAAGGGGGGTGGGGGTGGGTCCAAGGACTTCAAGGTCTCCCAGCCTGCCTCACTCCACCCCAGGCTCAAAGAGCCATGATTCCCAGTTACCCCTGAAAGCTACAATGCTATGACTTTCCCAGGCATGGGGGCCAGGGTGCACCCTTAGGGCTTCTCCCATCCCACCCTTGATCACACAGTTGCTACACTTTCCTTTCCGTGGCTTAGAAGGGGTGTCGGTGAGCAAGCTAGTATAGGGTTGTTTGCTTAAAAGCTAAGATTTGTTCTTAAGGTGCATCGAGGGAGGAAGAGGTTCGTGTTTGGGCCAGTCTGAGCCAGAACAGCCAATCGATCACAGAAATGACAGGTTTTCTAAGCTGTTATGAATTATGAAGCCTGGAGCGGCTGGCTTGTCTTCTTGTGTTAGTAGTCCCCTAGGCACACAGCAACGGACAGCTGGTATTTTCCTGGGAGAGATAGCATTCCCACTTGAATGCCATAACGCAGCGGCAGTGAGAAGAGGTACCTGGAAGGCACGGCTGGGGTTGTGAGCTAGGGAGTGGCTACAAGGAGGCCTTCCTGTATCATGAAATGCTCAGACTAGCTAGCAGAGACAACTGTTCAGCCAAACAGTTCTGCTGAGCAAGGAGGCTGAGGTCTTTCTTAGAAATACTCCTCTAGAGAGGTCAGCGCCCGGGCTGGCTGGCAGGGGCAGCAAGAACATTCAGGGGACATCTGAGATGGCTGTTTCCAGACCCTTTCTAGGGAAGGTCAGTCCTCAACTGGGCTGGCTAGTTTTACATTAACTTGACACAAGCCAGGGTCATTTTGGAAGAGGGAATCTAAACCGAGAAAATACCTCCACTAGATTGGCCTGTAGGCAAGTCTGTAGGGTGTTTTCATGACTGATTTGGAAGGCCCCGTCCACTGAGGGTGATGCTACTCCCTAGGCTGCTGGTCCTGGATGGCAGGAGAGGGCAGGCTGAATAAGCCATGGAGACAAGTCAGGAAGCAGCACTCCTTCTAGCCTCTACATCAGTTCCTACATCTAGGATCCAGCCTTGAGTTCCTGCCCTTACTTCCCTGGATGATGAGCTTCAAGCTACAAGGCAAAATAAACCCTTTCCTACCCCAGCTGCTTTTGGTCTCAGTGTTTCATCGCAGCAATAGAAGCCCTAACTGAGAACAAGTGACCCAAGGCTCTGGGTGGGGGGCTGTCGTGGTTTCAAACACTCACCAGAGCAAATTTGTTGACTTGTGCATAAAGCCGCTCCACCTCCCTGGGGGTTGCAGCTGTCCCTTTTTGTGCCTCGAGATAATAGTGCAGCCACTGCAGCTGGATCTCCCGAGATGGATAGTGGCTGTAATCAACCTCATTTACACCTAGGAGGCAGGTGAGACAGAAGTTGCTGGATTAGGTTTGAGCCCAGGAGTCCCCTACATTGAGCTGTGTGTGGGCTGGGCTGAGGAGGACCCATGTGAGGATGACCCAGTCAGTGGAGGATCTCCTCTACCCAGCTGGGCACCGCTTGCCTAGGGCTGAGGAAAGAGGCTGGCTGAGTGGCAGTGCCATGTACTGCCGTGCAAGTGGTGGGAATTCCCAGGAAGCATCACCATGTCTAACTCCCTAGAAAGCAGTGCTTCATAGAAGGCCTCAGGCTTGGCACCACCCGATGCCAACCAGCCCTTTCATATCAGGGGCCTAATGCTGTCACCTTTCAGACAAGGAGCTGATGCTCACACTGGCATTTCCCGGGGAAGTGCTCCACCTCCACTGCTTACCATGACTGACGGCCCCCTTTGTACCCTTCCCTGTCAGCCTGCTTTCCAGTTCCTGCAGGCATGTGCTTTGCACAGGAGAAACCACAAGAAAGAAGCATTTTATTTCGGGTGGGAGCAGAGCTGAGCTACCATCTCCACGGTCTCACCTTTCCCTTCTTACACCCTTCCCCTGTGTTCCTTATACCCCCTAGAGAAACAGAGTTTCTGAGTTCCAAGTCTGTGGGTAACAAAGAATCTCCCCTTGCTGAGAGGCCCAGGACACACAGCTAGCCAGAGGCAGGGTTGGTTGGACCTGCACCTTCCTACTGCGCAGTCTGCTTGCAGGCTCCTAAAGGACACAGTCCACCCCCTTTGGAGGCTCAGCGCGCTGGATAAGGACTTATGCCTCTGCAGAGGCCTACCAGCAGCTGAGCACTGCCAGGCATGTGCCCTACAGGGCAGACCTCTGCTTCAGCTCATCACTGTTCAGCTGAGGCCCACCCTGCCTCTGATTGCCCTAGAGTGCGGGGCCCACGGGGTGCAAGCAACTACACAGGCCAGGTCCCCTAAGTTTCTAAAAGAGATGTAATTGGTCAGCCTGGGGTGGCCTGGGGTGGTTGGGGGAGCAGCCAAGGGATGGCTCCACGGTTGGTCAAGGCACCTCAACTCTCCTAAGCCCTAGAGGCCAGCCATGTCATCCTGACACGCCCATATACCAGCCTGCAGATGGCCCTCCAGCTGTGTCCAAGGCCATAGAGGAGTTGTCTCCATGGTTCTATCAAACTTTTTAACATGCCTTCAAGCTGGAAAACATTGTCCTGTTGTCCTTCCATGGGAGGATCTAGATTACCATGCCTTTACAGTATAGCTGCCAAGTCTTGGGGAGGGAGAGAGACTCCCCCCCACCCCACCCTCAGAAAACAGGGTCTCTATAGTCCTGGCTATATTGGAATTCACTATGTAGACCAGGCTGGTTTCAAGCTCACAAAAGATCTGCCCGCCTTTCTCTGCCTCCCGAGCACTGGATTGAAGGCACGCACCACCACACCCAGCCTTTGTGTGTGTCACAGCTCAACAGTGTGACAAAGCATTACACCATCTCCATTTTGCAGCCTCAGAGGGCAGTGACCTCAATACCATACTAGTAACAACAAAACCAGGATTAGAACTCAGGAAGTTGAGATGCAGAAACACTTTTAACTAGCTCTGCCTAAATTATCCACTTCAGGACACCAGAAAACACCTATTTACAGCATTTTTGGTGACATATCTGCATTCAGGGCCTTCATGGGCAATTGTACAAGTTGTACTGGACATGAAGGGGTGCTAGCAAGTTTTTGGGGAGGCGCTTGACTTGAGAAAGGGTATTTCTCCTTTATTATTATTATTTTTTTTGCACTGGATATTGAATTCAGGGCCCTGTACATACTAGGCAAGTGCTCTACTACTGAGATACATCCATAACTATCTTTAATTTTAAGATGGGAGTCTCACTAAGTTGCCCAGGTTGCTCTTGAACACACACTGTAGCCCAGAAAGTTCTTGATGGGATCCTCCTGCCTCAGCCTCCCAAGTAGCTAAGATTACTGGACCTCGCTACTGAGCTCAGTATGGAAGGGGGTCTTTTCCTAATTCACAGTCAGGCTGAGTAGCCCTAGGACACTACAGTGAATGCATTTTCCTTATTTGTACCAAACTGCCACACAGGCTGGAGGTCAGCTCTGGAGGGAGTCCCTTTCTGTGAGATATGTTGCTCGTTAAAAGCAGGCTGTGCCCACCTCCCATCAAGTCTAGGACCACCTGTGGTCCTCACCAGACTTTGCACCCCATCATAAGAAGGCACTGAGGTCAGAGTAATCCCCCCTACCTGCAAACTCATTGAAATGGTTGCCAATGTCAAAAGCCTGGTAGTTGTACCCTGCATATTCATAGTCGATGAACCGTACATGGCCTGTGAGGAAGAGGAGAAGCATTGAGAACTGGTTCCAGATCTGGAAATGGGGCATAGTTAGACTTCCAGACCTCTACCACACACCCTCTGATCCTCTGATATCTATCTGTCCACTTGCCCTCCCCATAGCTCCAGCCCCCTCCAGCTCGGTTGGGGCCTGAGGTTTCTCCATCTAAATGTACCTGTCCACAGCATAGCTAAGGATTAAAAGCAAAGCAATTACTTCCTGCCCACCATGTCTGTGGGTCCAACATGGATTCAACTAACTATAGGCTGAAGTGGAGACTCGGTTCAGTGATTAAGAGCACAGGCTACTCTTGCAAAGGACTTGAGGTTCAATTCTCAGCACCCACCATGTGGCTCAGAGCCAACCATAGCAATAAGTCCACGGGACACGACATCCTCTTTTGGCTTCCATGGGCACTGTATGCACGTGGCACACAGGCATACATGCATGTAAAATAATCAAACACATAAAATACTAATTAAAAATTCATATGTACTAAACATGTACAGACTTCTGCCCTTTGTCATTCCTAAGATAACATGTTAACACCTGTTTAGCTCATATTCCCACTGTATTTGGTATGGTAGGTAGCCAGGAGGTACTGTAGGGTGCTCTGTGGAGGTCAGAGGCAAATACTATACTATTTTATTTATTTTCAAGTGTTTCCAGGACAGGATTCTGGTTTCTCACACAGGGATACTCTCCCTGCCAAGCTCCACTCTGTATGCTGGCACACTCAGATGTCCCCAACCAATCTACGCTGTGTAATGAGGGATACCTGTATTTCTGGGGGCAGGGGGGTTACATTCTCAGGAAGAGTGAGATGTAGGCAGTCTCTCCCTCTCTTATCTCTTCCCTACTTCCCTACCCTCTCAAGTTTCTGTTGTTGTAGTTTTGGGTTTTTGTTTGTTTTGGTCTTTCAAAACAGGGCTTCTCTGTGTACCTTTGTCCTGGACTCACTTTGTAGACCAAACTGGCCTTGAATTCATGGAGGCCTGCCTCTGCCTCCCTGAGTACTGCGCCAGCTACAATATGTTTTTCTAAGTGGGGCTTTTCTGCTCTCATTTCTTCTTCTTTCTCACAAATTAAGATCAACATAAGGCATACCATGTCCTCCATGAAAAAGGAAAAGTGGCAAAGCCTTCTCCTGGGAGTCAGAGGGGCTTGAGGGGCTGTACCTTTGGCGCTGTCATAGATGATATTCTTGCAGAGCAGATCGTTGTGACAGAATACCACAGGAGAATCCAGTTGGGACAGGTGTTCCTTCAGCCAGGCCAGCTCCTGTTCCAACTCCTCCACCTTAGGGACATCTGCAGAAAGGCTGAACAGTGGCAGAAAGAAAGAAAGAAAGAAAGAAAGAAAGAAAGAAAGAAAGAAAGAAAATTTTTAAAAATTGCAGGTTGAAGGAGGCCTGACTCAGAAAGACAAGCCCTAAACTCTAGCCGGATTATTCCTTTACTGTAGAGACCTCAGACAAAAGGCCAGCCCAGCCCCACTTATGTCCTGTCCTCCTGGTTCCCATGGTTACACCGAGAAGCAGATTAAAACCTGGTCATAAAAGTAGCTGGCAGAACATAAACGTCACTAACTAAATGGCATCCCTGCTACTTTGTGAAATGGACAGGGTGAGGAAGGAGGACTCAGGAGAAGATAGGAGAGGTGACAAGTGTCCCAGGCCATGGCTCCAGGGGAAGAGAGAATGGGGCCCATTGGATTAATGGTGAGAAGCAGAACAGACCTGGCCCACGGTGCTGAGAACTTCCTAGGAGAGGCTGCGCTCCCCTAAGATGAGACTCCCCAATAACAGAACCCCAACAGGGGCTGGAGAGATGGCAGCTAGGTGCCCCAGTGTGGCCCCTTGTACCTCAGCAGCTGACAATGTGCTAGAAGGCAGCTATACCCTGTGCAGTGTGAGAGAAACAACAGCAACCCAACACACCCCATGGAAGACCTGTTTTGCCACTCCCAGCAACTAATTCCTGTCACCTTGAGCTATGAGTGCTTCCTGTTCCTGTCCTTAGACCAGCTTAAAGGCTGAGCAAAAATTCAAGAGGCTACTTCCATCCACCCCCATGTCACACTGAAGTAGTGTTGTCTGCCAAGCATGCTGGGGAATGATCTATCATGGATCAACCAATACAGATGTTGGGTAAGAACACACTGTACTCAGGTGTTCTGAACTTTGGCCCTTCAGGTATACAGGTTTGTGTAAACTGAAAAAGCCAACAGAGCACAGACATTCAAAACTCAGAACTATCCATAGACAGGGGGTGCTGGGCCTGGACTCTGCTCCTGTTTCTCTGCCCAGGACAGCAAAGGTTCACAGGGGAAGACGACAATTGAGATGGGCTCTGGTTCATCTCCCTGCCAAACAGAACTGTCTAATTTGTCCCCGTGTCCCCTGTAGAAAAGGAAAGCCAAAGCCAGAGGGGTCTTAGGTCTTCTGACACACCTGGGAAATGGAAGAAAGAAAGGAAAGAAACCTCACCCCAGATGCCTCACAGCTTGGGTACACTCAGATCCAACACCTCAACCCACCTGGGGTCCCAGCCTACCATGTGTCCTCATCACAGGGCTGTGTCCCCTTGCTGAGCCAGGCAGCCCCCAGGCTGAGGAGAGGGCCAAGCTGCATCCTCAGCCACAATGCGTCTTCCCTGAAACGCTACTTTAAGACTCCGCTCTTACACCAGGGTTATCTCAAGATAAGGGCTGAGGAGGCTTCCTTTGGTTTGCCCAGGTCTCAGTCTGAAAATCATGCCTGTGACATCCGGAGGCCCACTCCCTGTCTCTGGCCTCAGCCTGATCCTACCCTGCCATGCCAAGGCCACTGTGAGAACAATCCAGGCCTATCTCCAACCCCCTCCCCCTTTGACTGCAGAGTGTCCCTCCCTGAACATGTGGACTTCTGCCAGCTTTGCTGCCTTGACAGCACCAAACTCCTCCACCTCTGCAGGGTTAGCAGCAGGGCAGCCATCACTGCCACCCCAGAAACATTCTCACCTCAGAAACAGTGGAAGGGTGAGGAGCTGGGGTCTCTGAGAGGCTTGGGACTCCTGTCTGGGGAGGGACTGCTGCTTGGCCATCTCCATTTAGTTATCACTGAAGGAGCAAAAGTTCTTTCTCCCCTACTGGACCAACTCTCGTCTGCTCCAGTCTCCTGGCTTTCTGCCTTTGTCTTCTCATCAGCCTACCTACCACTGTCCTCTCATGATGTCCCTAAGGTAGTTGCCAGCCTACCCTGCTTCATGCAGGGTCAAACAGCCACCAGGGCCACCAAGTCACTTTCCACAGCCTCTGACGTAGTCTATCCTCCACCCCACCTACCTGCCAAGCTGGCCCAAGTAGTATTGCCCAAATGTATTTCATGCTTCATTGAGGGCCCCTGTAGTCCTGGGTCCAATGGGAGCCCTCCCTGAGTGGGACTAGTGAAGCGCACTTAGCAAGCATTCTGTGGAGGACCTGATTCTCCCAGCTTGGGTTTCCCAGTCCTAGAACCTGGCCCCAGTGTGTCTCCCCGCCTCAAGTGCACAACCAGCTTCTTTAGCAAAGCTGTTCTTATGCCCAGTGGCCCTCCTCCTAAACCACAGTTCTGGCTTAGGCACCTTTATAACAGTGGGCATGGGTCACTCACTTATAATCCTAGCACTGCGGCAGTAGGATCATGAGTTCAAGGTAGGTTTGCCTGGTCTACATGAATTTGAGGTCAGTGTGGGCTACATAGTGAGACCCTGTCTCAAACAAACATCCTGGTTTCCTCATGCTTGCCATCCTGGCTCCTTAGTATGGTACCCACGTCTCGTTCTCTCACCCTCCTCTTCCCCACTCCCACAGCCTCCAGCCACATTCACCCACTTGGCAGCCTTGAGCAGACTGCCCCAGGCTGTCTCCTGAGCTGGAGTAGCCCCTCTCATCTTGCCCTGTCACTTCTGCCAAGATGACTTTTGCTGTCCTTTCCTACCCCTGCTTATGCATTACACACCCTGCCTTTTGTGCCAAGTACAGGCATGTTCTGTTTACCCAGCTGGCTCCTGAGGGGCAGGGCCTGTGTCATAATCACCTTCACTTTTCTACCATTTTAATCCCAGTCAATCAATGTTTGTGAAATGAAGGCTTAAATAAGTCAGGGCTGTGAGGTAATGCCTGGAGTCCAAGATGCTCCATCTAGTTTCAATGGCTGTTCAGCATTGTCCTGGACTAGCAAAGCAGTGCAAAGGGTCAGGGGACAGTCCCTTAGACAGGCTCAAAGAAGTTAAATCTTGATTTCCCAGAGACCAAAGGCATGACAAGAACAAAGGAAACTGGCCAGCTCCTCACCAAGGGGCTCTCTCCTCCTGACAAGATCATCCACCAAAGCTACACAGGGACAGAAGACAAAGGGAGCTGTAGTGTCTAGCCATGTGTGCAACAGGCCTGCACCCAGCAACAAGAAAGTCCCATTTCCACCTGTCAGATAAAGGTGCTGGCTGAAGGGGCATGTCACAGTGGAGTTCTCAGAGACATGGCAGTCTTTGTCCCAGGATCTGAACATGGTCAGACAGAGGGCAGGCTTGAGCCAGCCTGGTTACTCACAGCACAATCATTTTGTATGAGAGTTCAGATAAAGTTGTGGGTGTGTGCAAGAGTCAACTAATGGGGTCAGTTAATGACGGCCATTCCAGAGGACAGAGTGAGCCACCACCCTCCTCCTTTAACACTTCAGCAGAGGTAGAGTTCAAACTGAAATGAGCTAGGAGATGTCTTTGAATGTCCAGCACGAAGAAATGATACACATTTGAAGTGAAGACACCTGTTACCCTGATTGCACCATTGCACAGTGTATATATAATTACCTGTCAATCAAGGACATTCAAACTCATTTTAAAAGGTGACGCTTGCTGGGTATGAGAACACAAATCTTTAATCCCAGCTCTTGGGAAACAGAGGCAGGTAGATCTCTGTGAATTCAAAACCAGCTTGGTCTACACAGTGAGTTCCAGGCCCAGGGGGCTACACTGTCTCAAAAAAAAAAAAAAAGTGAATATTTAATCTTTGCAGGGTACCTGGATGGTCAGAGACCATGTGTTTGACTCTTTTCCATGCTTTATTCTCCAACGCGTGTCAAGAGTTGGGCACCTGCAGACCAGCAAGCAAGGGGGACTTTGGGAGACCCTGTTTTCCTTGAAAGTAGACTCAGAATGGGAGAAGCTTCTGTCCCTGGAAGGAGCTCTTCAAGAAGCAATGGGTGTGAGTAAGAACAAAACGGGGGACGTGGTTCCCAAAGGTACACAGGCATATGAGGAGTCAGGCAGTTACCAGGGAATCTTGACATCCCTAGAGCTTGCTGTCTGCTCTTAAATGACCCATTGACCTCAGCACCTCAGGTTCCCAGAGGCTCCACCCTCCTCTGGTTCTAAAGACAGAAGGCAGTTCTTGAAGAGTTAAGTCCTGGGACGGGAGACTAAGGCCTCACCCTGACAGCCTGACAGGGGAACAGAGCTTCCTCTAGCAACCCTAGTCTTTCCTAAGAAAAATGGGAGTTGTCCTAATCTTGCTACCTGACACAGTCAGAGAACTCAAAGAAAAATAAGCACTAGTATGCAAAACTGATCTTTGTTGCTGAAATGCAGCCAATGGCCTCCCTCTGCCTGGACTGTGGCTCAGAATGGGTGCTCAGGAGAAACTCCTCCTGAGAGGAACTTCATCCCTCAACCTCCTCTACAAGTGGGCTGGAGCCAAAAGTAAGGGGGAAGGGCAGAGACAGTGGTGGCTTTGAGCCCTCTCAACTCTCTGTACCTGGGACTGATTTCATCCTTGACCAGAGTGAAATAACGGTGCATCTTATGCCAGAGGGTGGGCTTAGGCAGGCTTCCATTGGTATGGATGGTGTGAAACTTTGCCATTTCTAAGGCAATTAACCTGTAACAGAAATGGGAGGAATAGAGAGTGTCAGTATTGAGCTCCTCCTCCCATTCAGCCCCATCTGACCAGAAAAGATCCAAAAGCTTCTGGGTGCTAGCCAGAAGCCCACATGTGGGGGCATGACAACAGCCCTTGGTCTCCCAAAGAAAGTCTCAGCAGAAGGCAGGAAAACGCAGTCAGACCTTCCAACGATTGCTCCTTTTCTAGTCGAGGGCTGAGCCAGAGAAAAACAGAGGAGCATTTGCTCCAGGCCAGTGGCTTCGCTCTCCCCAGGCTTCCCATACCAGCCCCTGGGAACACAGGGGCAACCAGGCATAAGGGCAGTGCCCTTCCTCCCCTTACCCCTGGACTTTGCCCTGTCTTCCCAGGAGAGGCCCCTTTCTATGAAGATATCAGTGGGTATTGAGGTAAGGAGGAAATGTTAGCCTCTTATCAGTCTAGCCAAGGTGGGAAGGCTGGCCTGGGGCAGCCCCTTCTGATTTCACAGAGAATTGATACTGGTGGGCGGATATCAAGGACTCAAAACAAGCCAAGTTCTCCTACAGACAACATCCAAGGTCCTGGGGTGGAATGAGCCAGCTGTCCTGGGGGAGGAGTGTGTAGCTGGGAGCGAGTAGGGATGAGTAGAGGACTGGCTACTGAAGAGGGAAGGACCTTGATAAGAACTTAGCACCAAGGCCAGTGCCAAGGTCAGCATGAAGACTGGGGTCCCAGCTGGGCTCTGCCAGGCCTCCCTCTGCAGTCCACCCGTAGCTGCCTGCCAAGCGTCCAACACCCAAGCTTCTGAGCTTCCCTTGCCTCTGCCTGTTGCTTGAATAATAATCACTGGGAAGCACAACAAAGGGGCTGGTTGTTTGAAACTTTGTTACAGAGCTGTCTTAAGGATCCTCCTCCCCTTGCCAGGCCTGGGATGAGATCAGCCACGCACTGTGGGGCAGGATAATGTCAGTTTCAGGCTCCTCCCTAAGCCTCCCACTTCCTCTAGGGTCATCAGCAGCTGAGTAGGTACATGGAGGTCAGAGGTCCTGGGGTAGGTGGAAGCCCACGAAGGGTCTGGGAAAAGCAGACAGAGACCTGAGGCCCAGCCCCAATGTTTCTTCTGGAGGAAGATTCTGAAGGGAGCGGTTCCTTGAATATCAATAGAGCTGCTCTGTGAATAGCAATAGAAGTAACTTCAACACTCAGCATTTTCATGCTGCAGAGCTTCTGCACATCAGGCTGGGGGTGGGCTCAAGGGATAAGGGGGGTACTTTCCTGCAGATACCCTGTCATCATGACAAGAGGGAAAAATCTCCATCCTGGGAAAGTCACCAAGGAAAGGCCCACGTCCTACACCCACCCCAATTTCTGGCTCTCCCCCAAACACCAACTTCTTATTATGGCACCTAAATCCTCCTTTAATCTTCCTGACAGTGGTAATAGTTTCCAGAAAGAGGATGAGTGATGGCATGAGGTTCAGAGAAGCGGAGGGAGACTAGGAGTGGCGGGGACTTGCCAGTAGTTGAGCTTATTCACACAAGACTAAGGGAGACGGGTAAAGGAGGGCAGGGGCTGATGTGCCCTGCGTTGATCCCACCTCTCCAGGTTGGGTGTGCTCAGACTGAATTCCAATGAACCCTGCATAGGTGGGCACGCCCTTCACCCCCTCTGCCCGACACACAACTATAACACACAAGTCAAATTCAATGTCCTAGGACACTGAGGCAGCACAGGAGTGTGGAGGGTCAGCCATGTGTGTAAAGAGAGCCAAGTTCACTTCCTTGGGCGGACTGGTGGGTGGGTAAGGGTAAGCAGAAGAGGCTCGGCCTACCCTTCGTAGGCAATACTGCCCTTAGTATGCGAGAAAAGTCTCCTACCTTTTGGGTTGGACACTGCAGATGCCAAGCAAAGCCCCTGCACTGCTGCCCCCAGCATTGGGAGTAAACCTCAGCCTGCCCAGACCTCACTATGATAGTTTGGTGGACTTCATCCACATGGCGCATGGCACTGGGGGAGGGGGGGAAAGCGAAGACACTGCCTGACAGCCCTGCCCTGGCTCAGTTGGAGCAGAGAGAATGGTATAGTGGGGGCTGTTTGGTTTTCCCCCTGTCAGGGCCTACAGTAGTATCCATGGGGATATTTCTATACTATAAATGCAGTTCCTAAGTCCTACATATGCAGGTAGTTACTGGGAACAAGATCCAGGTATTGTGGGCCTTCTGCATGGAGGTCCCAGTGTATGCTAAACCTGAACCCAAAGGGCCCTCAGCTTAGGGGGAGGAGAGGCTATTCCTGCTAAAGTCAGGTTCACCCTGGACTCTGCAAAAGATGGGAGGGAAGCTGGGCAAGGTGATGCACACCTTTAATCCCAGCATTTGGGAGGCAAAGGCAGGTAGGTCTCTGAGTTTGAAGCCAGCCTGGTCTATATATCAATTTCAAGGAGAGCCAGTGCTACACCAAAAGACCCTATCTCCAATAAAGGAAAGAAAGAGGGAGAGGTAGAAATCTAAGTGCTGCACTGAGGGGGTTGAGTGCGCAGAGGCAGGTGGATCTCTGTGAGTTTGAGGCCAGCCTGGTCTACAAAGTGAGTCCAGGACAGCCAAGGGTACACAGAGAAACCCTATTTTGAAAAACAAATGAAGAAGACAAAGAAAAGAAATCCTGTGTGCCTTCAGAATTTGGCTCAGATTTCATTCCCAGGGCTTCTGAATGTTTTCATATCAGACACAGAGTGGATAGAGGTTTGAGAAATGGGTGTGTGTGGGGGGTGCTGGTCTTTGCTACATTTTCCTGCAACTCATCCTTCTAGTGGACATCATTGTAGGGCCATGGAATGCTGTAGCTTCTGAACAGAGCACATCAACAAGCATTTCAATGCAATTGCAGGCCTTATGACTCTTCACCTCCTCACCCTCCTCACCTGAAGAGATGGGGCTCTCGGATACGCTCCGGTCCCAGGGCCACACCCTGCATGTACTCGTAGCACAGCCCATTCTGAAAGGTGCAGTAGAGTTTGGGGGCGCAGCCGTGTGCTCGCAGCATCTGGAAGTTGCTGACCTCATTCTCCCGGTCCACCAGCAACTCCGTCCGCTCCCCATACACCCGGACCAGCACGCAGTCCCGCATGTCCTCCTCCACATAGCAGGCCACTAGCTTGTTGGTGATGCCATCTTTGAAGCGCTAGCATGGGGAGAGGGCAGCCATGGGTAGGAGGGTGGGGTATGATCCCCTGGTCTCTTCCCAGAGCTTCAGTCAAAGCAGAATGTGCTCATTTGAATGCTGAACACAATCCCACACCAGCTAGCACTATGCCCTGCCTTGGAGTAAACTACAACTGGGGGTGGGGTGGGGGCAGTGGCAGCCACATTGAGCCCAGGCACACTCAGCCTAGGACTGCCCCCGGGACATGGAGTTCAGCTGAGCGGGCACATCCATGCTAGGCAGTAGGTAGAGGCCCTCCCCTCCTTTCTCCACTCCTGGCCCTGAAAGAACCCACCTCAGGACAGAATGTGGCCTTAAGGACTGGAAGCTGCCCAAACATCCTGACCAGCTGCCTTTGGCCAAGGCAGGCAAGGGGTTCTCAGCTGTATCTCCTGCTCCATCCAGTGGCAGAGGAACAAGGAGGGTACTGAGGTTGGCACTCGTCCCAGGGCTGAGTCCTTGAGTCTCTGAATTCCACACCAGGAGAGACAGGAGACAACAGAAGTGAGAACAAAGACTCTGGGCAGGCTGATGAGGAGGAAGAGACCAGGAAATAAAGTTTTATGGATGCTATGTGGGACTTTAGAGGCCACCTGCACCGATTCTGTGGGAGGAAACAGGCCTAGTGCGAGCCTAGATCAGCACCTGCCACACTGGATATCCGCTCAGGTCTGCTTGATGCCTTCACTGCCTGGCTGGGTCCTCTGAAAATGCTACCACACACAGCCCAGCTCTCCTCAAAGCTGTGCCTTCCCCATTCAGAAGGTCTGTGACTCGGAGCCCTACCCCTTCCCAGGCTGCCCAGGGTGTGGGCAGCTGGGTAGGTTTTTAAGAGAATGCAGGACAGCTGGGGAGTAAGCCAGGGGCCACAGTGAGCAGCTCTGCCTACAGGTGTGTGGTGGTGGTGGTGGGGAGAACAGATCCAGCTTAAGTAGGATGGCAATGGCGTGGGGAGGGGGGAAGGGACGGGACGGGGAGGGGCTACTCTGAGCCAGCCTGAGGCCATGGTGAAGGTCTCAGTGCTTAACTGGAATTCCGACTTTCACAGGGCTGGCTCCTGGGGCTACAGGGAATGTTCAGGTCCCCGAGGCTTGGATCTCACGTTAGGGTGAAGGGACAACACAGGTGTAGGGGGGAGGTTTCCTTAAAAGTTCGTGCCTCCTGGGGCTTCAGAGTGGCTGGGTACGCACTTCTAGGCAACTAAAGGACAAGCACGCAGCGACAGGGGGTGGGGCCGCAGGCGCAGCATGCTGACAGTGGGCAGGTGAACCTCCGGCTGCACGCTTGGGAACCTCAGGATCAGGCGAGTAGGGAGGGTCAGGGAGGCCTGAGCCCAGCTTTGCATAGGTATCGAAAGAGACGGGAGAGCTAAACATAAACCACGGTCCAACCCTGCGCAACAGCCGCGCAACCCTGGGACCCTCACTCGGAAGGGTGCACTGACGGGCGTCCACACAGCCCCGCTGCAGCCCAGGCAGGGCCCCATCCCCGGCCTCGCGCCCGCTCGGCTACCTTAGTCCGAACTTGTTCGGGCTTCCAGTGCGGCCGCAGCTCCCGGATGAGGCGCAGGGCACCGGGGAGGATGTCGTCCTGGTCCACCGCGACGCTGAAGCACGGGACGGCGGCCCTCGGGGGCCCTGGTGGCTCCCCGCAGCCGGCGCTGCCCGCCGCCTTTTCCTCCATGCCCCATGAGCACTGCGGGCAGGGCGCCTGCCTCCGCAGGTAAAAGGGCAAGCACCGCACTGAAGCTGAAGGGGGCACAGCCATTCCCAGCAGCCCCACCCCCTCGGAGCCGCCGCGCCCGCGTTAGCCCCTAAGGAGGGGGCCTGAGAGAGAGTGGGAGTGGTCGAGGAGGGGCCAGGGGAAGTCCATGACTCATGAGCGAGCTGCCTGCTCCGATCGCCGGCGCGCAGCCGGGCAACACATCTGGCCGGGGATCGCCGGGGTCCGCCGCGACAGTGACATCACGGGCCGCAGTAACGCCCCTGGCCCCGTCCCCGCCTCCGGCCGAGGGCTGCCCATCGTCTCCCGCAGCTGAGTCCACGGCTACCTGGAGCTCTGGGGGGGGGGGGGGGTGAGGAGTGGCGAAGCCCCGCCCTAATGACGCAAAGGGAGGAGCCTTCTCAGGCTCCGCCCAGATCCTTGCTCGGCATCCCAGTGCTAGATGACCTGTTTCCCAGTGGGGCCCACAGCTCTTGGCCAATTCTTTCCCGGTAGCTAGTTTAAGGAGCCAGGGCTAGGTCGGAAGAGCTTCCTGGAATATGGAGCTCGGCTGCTCCTATAGTGTGGGCTTCGGCTTGCCTTCAGATCTCTGGACCTTTGAAAACAGGTTGGGCTTCATTCCTAAGGTTTCCAGGCATCACCCATCACCACCTACACACACACACACACACACACACACACACACACACACGCACGCACGTGCGCGCGGTGATGGTGCGGCGGGGTGGGGCATGAGCGTCCATAGGCAGACTGGACACTAACTGAACATTCCCATATACTTTATGAGTACCTAAGCACACCATAAGCCACGGCTTTGGGCAAGACTGAGTTTGATTCACTAAATAATGCTTAAATCGTCTTGTCCTGAGAGGCTGGCTGGGCACTGCTTTGTTGAGCAAAAAGGTGATCAAAGGGCTGGCACAACCTATGGACCTGAGTGTGTGTGGAATGGCTCGTGACACAGATCCAGGAGAAAGGATAAGCTTCCTGACTGACTTAGAGCGGAGAGAAGACACATGGAAAGAGGCCATGCCAGCCTTTGGAAAGCCCCTCTCTTAGACAGAGCAAGCTCAGCTCTCTACCATTGGAAAACCTGGGCTTGCCTTGGGGAACCTCATGGCTCACCATCTCACTGCCCCACTTGAAAAAATGCCTACAAAATGGATGAGTTTCTGTGTCCCCAGGCTGTCCTCCTGGCCTACTCAGGAACCTTTCAACCACAAGGCCTTTGATTCCCGCTGCTCAGAATCCAGGTCTTCTGCTGAGTTTCTATGCCGATGCCTCGTACGCTGGGCTTCTAGCCCGATGTGGCTACTCAACACTTGAAATGTGGCCAGCGTGACATTTTGTGCAACTTTAATCTTAATAAGGGTGCCAATAGCCACATGCGGCCACAGTGTTGGACACTGCAGCAGATGGTAGGGGAGGGACCACTGACTTAAGGTCATCGTGAAGCCCCAGGATGCCAGAACTGGAAGGACATTGCCTCCAGCTCTCTCTTTTGCAAGAGGCAAAGAAAACCATGCTGTGCAAGGGACATAACTGTGGGAGTCCAGGCTCTTCTTCTCAGCTCTGTGCCAGGACTCTGCTCACAGCTCCTGCTACACAAACATCACCCCAGACGATCCCTGGAACTCAACCTCAGGACAGTGAAAGCCTACAGATACCAGGAGCTTGGTTGGGACACTCAGTACCTGATGTTTGGGGGTCAAAGAGGCATGCTGCTTACTCACCCCCTAAGTTATACACTTTGTTGACAGCCTGAGGGACGAGTGGGAGAAGAGCCCTCAGCCTGTGGAGTTCTCAGGCCTTGAGGTGGAAGACAGCCCGTGTGTGCACCTGACCCAAACCAAGGTGTTTGAAGGTCTACCCCCATGCCAGCCCTTCTCACATCGGACTGAGGTGGGAACCCCCAGGAGCTGAGTCAGCTGGGCTGGACTCTAGGATCGTTTTTCAGGACGCTTCCCCACTTGATTCTTCACAGAGTGATCTTGGGCAAATGCCTTTCTGTCTCTGTGCACTTCTCACATGGGAGGTAGGGTTGTTGGATGTCTGACATTCTGAGTTCTTACGTGGGGACCATTTAGATTCTTGTGTAAATGGCCACACGAAGCAGGAGCACACAGAGGGTACAGAGTAAGCCGAGAGGTGTTTTCCAGGAAGTTCCATATAGGGTTAGCTTGCTCAGCAGCACAAGGCTTGAGGTCAGTACTGGTATCTATGAACTAGAAGCATCTTTCTGATTGGTTTAGCCAGGGTTTCTATTGCTGTGATGAAACACCATGACCAAAGCAACTTGGGGAGGAGAGGGTTTATCTGACTTACACTTCCACATCACTGTCCATCACCAAACGAAGTCAGGACAGGAATTCAAGCAGGGCAGGAGCTGATGCAGAGGCCATAGACGGGTGCTGCTTACTGGCTTGTGTAAAATGAACTTTTATTTGCCTGGTTATATTGTTGTCTTGGTGGCAGCCTCTGTCTGCTCGCTAGGCCTAGTCCTGGAAGCTTCTAGCCTCTGTACAATCTAACCTAGGCCTAGAATGTTTTCAGCCTCTGATAATACTGCTCACCCTTTCTTACTCTTTGATTCTGGGCTGGCTGGTTCAACTCAGCTGTTCTGGCTCAAACTCCTCTCCCAGATTGAATAAGATGATTTATTAATCTGGCTTCTCTCTCAGTCCCTGAACTGCTCTGCTTGGCCTCCAACTAACGCCAGAAATCTGCTCTAATCTCCTGGCTCCTTCTTATTCTCTGGCCCATTTAGTCTTCACCTGAGTTCTCTTTCTGCAACCTGTCTCTCTATTACTGTTCAGATTAAAACTGCATTCTTTCTCTGCATTGCCCCTTAAGTAGCTTCTCTTTCCTCTCTCTTCTCTTGAGAGTTGGGTATATCCTATTCTTTCTCTGATTTATCTCTTTTTCTGCCACTCAATTGGACATCACTTTCAAACATGGGTGCTTCCTTCTACAAACTAACTTTCCCTGCATTGTTTGGGATTAAAGGCGTGTGCCACCACACCTGGACCTAAGGTATTCTTCACCTGAAACTCAGATCTGCTTGCTTGTCTCCTGGATTAAATGAGTATTTGCATCCCAGCTGGATCACACAGACTTAAAAGATCTTTGGATGTGATCAGCCATGTTCTAAATTAACATTCCTCTACAAGCTTGCTCCTCCTACTTTCTTACAGAACCCAGGCCCACCAGCCCAAGGATGAAACCATCCACAATGGGCTGGGCCCTTGCTATCAATCTCTAACTAAGAAAATGTTCTATAGGCTTGCCTACAGCCCCATCTTATGGAGGCATTTTCTTAATTAAGGTTCCCTCCTCTCAAGTGACTAGCTTCTGTCAAGTTGACATTAAACTAGCCAGTATACTAACGTACACTCTATTGCCATAGCCCTAATGCTTTCTCCCAATGGCCTTGAGGGACATGGGGCCTATTTCTTTGCAAACTCCCCAACCAAGGTTGTTGTATGAACAAGCTTTATGTGAATCCTTTTGACAATAGATGGAAACCATCAACCTACACACAAAAACGTAGGGGTGGGGCTCTTTTTGTCGCATTCTCCCTCTCTATCTCTTGCTGTCTCTCTGTATGTCTCTGTCTCAGTGTGTGTCTATCTCTTTCTCTGTCTCTTGTGTGTGTGTCTCTCTCTCTGTGTGTGTAGAGGCCAAAGGACAACTTCAATTACCATTCCTCAGGTATCAAACCCCAGGGATCTGCTTGCTTTGTCCCCATGGTTGCTGGGATTAAAACACCTGCCATCAGGTCTGGCTTTTATTGTTGTTGTTATTATTATTATTAATGTGTGTTCTGGGGATCGAACTCAGGTTCTCATACTTGAAAGGTGAACACTTTACTAACTTAGCTACATCTCCAGCCCCATTGGTCATATTATTCTCCATATGCAACCACGAAACTGTCTCCATCTGCTCCAAACTCAAAAGAACCCACCCCAAACAGGTTGTAAACATGAAGTCTTTATTCTGTTTTTCCACAAAGCAGGGAAGGGTGAGCAGGTGGAGAGGCAAGCACTCATCGGGGGCTCTGTGTCCAATGTCCCAAGGACACTGGGGCGGGGGGGCAAGCTCAGACAAAATGGCTCCCAGGAGCACCTGCTTTGGCTCAGCCTGAAACTAGGGTCACTGGGTGGCAGAGGGCCTTAGCGAGCCAAGGCAAACCCAATGCGATTGTTATGCCGATCAAACTCTGTATAGAACTTGCGGATAAAAGCGGCACCCAGGACCCAGACAGGTCCAGTGGGTGGTGGGATGTCCAGGCCGTGGAGAGCCAATGTGCACAGGTGGTCATTCCTGTAGGGGTCCTGGCAAGAAGCAAGAGGCTTGCTCGGTTGCCCATCACACAACCCTTTCCCACCGCCGGACCCTAGCAGCTGTCTTCCTTCTGTACCGCCCTTCGCTGACACCCTCCCAGAGCCCTTTACCCCATCCTAAATCCCAGCCTTCTTGGGGCAGGCTGGCACTGTAGTAGATACTGTGCAAACAGCGTATCCTCCCTGCTCGCAGGCTCACTTAGCTCCTCACCCAGAGCCAATCACTGAACTGCTCTCAGCCCGTGAGCATGAAAAGGACAGAGCACTAAAAAGAGGGCCACTCAGAAATGGAGAGTGAGGGCCATCACTGAGTTGCAGCATGGCTGCACAACGGAATCTATTGGGAAGTTTTAGGAACTTGGATTCCCAGGAAGTTCTGATTGGCCAGGTGAGGCATATGGCCTGGGCACCAGGATTGTTAAAAATTCTCTAGATGGCACGAACCACACAATAGTACATTACAACTTGCTCCCCTTCGGTGACCCTGCCCACCCTCTCCCTGGGCCTCACCTGTAGCACATAGTCCATGTTGGTGAGTGTATAGGCTCTGCCTCCCAGGTGGAAGGAGATGTTAGGGAGGGTGGGCACCTGGCTGCAGTCCACAACATACTGGGGGAATGAAGGGAGCTCTTTTCAGTGAGGAAGGCTCCAAGTAGGCCAGAGAGTCCTGGACACAGTCCCCTCTCAGCCTCCATGGGAGACACACCATGCATTCAGTGTGAGAGGTGAGGAGGCTTTGTTTGGGACCCGGTATTGTGTGGATGGTTTGGAGGGGGGAGAGAGGTGGTGCTACCCCCCCCCCACTTCTCCATTTTCCCCACTTATTTCTTACTTCGTCTGTGCTCTGCTCCTGAGCCCCCAGGACTTGCATGATCAACTTCAGGGAGCTCGTAGGACCCGAGATATAGGAGGCACCGGTGTCCACCACTGTCATGCAGCCTTCCTCACACAGCAAGGCGGCAGACCCCACAGATAACCTGCGGAGGCTACAGTTAGACAGGCAGACAGCAGACAGACAGACAAGAAGGATGGCAGGCAGAAGCTGGCAGGCACCTTCAGCCTGCATGTCTGCCTCAATTTAGGACAGCAATAGGAGGCCATACAAGTGGCCTGCTGATGCCCTGGAGGAGAGCTGAGGCAGAGCTGGCTGTTCCTTGCCAAAGACCCCACCTCCTCTCCCCAAGTCCCCTCCTCCACCACCCTCAAATCTCCATGCCCCCATCCTGGACAGAGCAAGCAGAAAGCAGATGGTGGTTGTACCTTAAGGAGTGGATCCCCTCCCCCCCAACCTGCACCCCATCCCACCCCAGTCCCCATGACATCAGTTTGGAGGGTTGGGAGGGTTTTGATTGCTGACTGACCCCTTCATTGTGATCTGCCAGGAGCCAGCCTTGCTGATGCTCACGTAGTGAAAATTGCCTTGGTAATGCTGGGGGTCACTGCCCCCCAGCACCACTTCCCCCCCGAGCAGGTGGGAATCTCTAAAGGAAAGATCAGCAGAAGTTAGAGACACACGACTTTGAAACCCAAGATATCAGGGATGAGGGAAAATTAAGTGTGGTGCAGGCTAGGGCAGAGCTTTGGGGTAGAGGAAGGGCTAGGGGCTAGATGGCAAGGCTGCAGGCTCTCATTAGGAGGATGTAGAACCTATTGCTTCTCCCCCTTGCTGATCCCTCCCCAAATGCAACAGAAGTATTTCTGGGACTGTCCAGCTGCCTCCAGAAAACCCTCAGCTTCAAGGACACGAATGCAAATAAGTTGCAAAGCAGGCCTTTCTCAGGTGTGCCGAGCAGACTTTAGGGAGAAAGCAGACACCTGCCTGCAGGGCTGGGCCTGATGGGTGGAGTCTGTGTGGGTGGTGGGTGTGATTCTGGGGCAAGGGTTCAGGAAGTATTGGAGTTCAGGGCCACATGGGGCTTGCGCCTCAAGATTTCTGCTGAGGCAAAGAGGGACACAAGAGAGGAGGTCTTCTTTGTAGGCAATGTTCAGCAACCCTGCTGTTTGGTAGGAGTAGGTTAATTTTCACCCTTCAGGCAACTGAGTCAGCAAATGGTGAAGCCCCCAAGACCTTGGTGGACACATGATGGCTGAAGCCAGGCTCTCGTTCTCAGCCAAAGCTGATCGCCTTCACTTTCCTGTCCTGTCCATGGTGCTTGTCAGCCCAGGGCTGCCTGGGGCTGGTTTCCAAGGTACTCAAACGGGGTTTCTCAGAGCTTACACCACACACACACACACACACACACACACACACACGTGCACATGTGTGTGTGGTGTGCACATGCGAGAGTCAGTTACTTACATGGATGCTCCTTCTTCCCAGCCAAAGGTAAGGGGAGACAGTCCCCACTTGCCAGGCCTGCTTGCTGCCTCTTGCTGGGTCCTCATTCTTCCATGGTCCCTACTTCTGAGCCCCATGCATGTGCTCTCCATACTTTCCCATCAGCTCTTCTTCCACCCACAGCATTGTTCAAGCATCCTCTAGCATTTAGAACACCCACATCTCTTTCCCTGCTTCTCTCTGGATCTTACCCCACAGGCCTGTTGAGCTTCCCAGAGCAGCCTGCATTCTGTAACCTCCACCTTCTGACACCCACTTCCACTCTTAGCCACTTCTTTTTTTCTGCTCCTGCCTCTACTCTTTGAAACACAGTCTTCCCAAGACCACTGACTGCAGGAGCCTCCGACTGTGGTGATCTGCTAGGTGCCTCCCTTTGCACAGAAGTTTTCCGGAGTCACCATCCGGAGAACCTGGCTTCCTCTGGGATGACTCTACATTCCACCCCTCCCTTCCACTGTCATCACTCCTGGCCTCTATTTTTTCCCATAATGATTTTACCCCCAGCTCAGACTGTTTTTCTAAACCCAGCAACTGGCAGCAGATCCCCGCCCTGCTGGGACGCTGCACTGACCACAGTTTCCCCCAAGGCAAGCTAAACTGCATAGAATTCTGGCCTAGAATTGAAAACCATCTGCAGCTTTCAGTACCCGGTGCCTGGCATGATGGAGGCACTCATTGTGCTGTGTTCTTGTCTTTCCTACTAGACAGTAAGCTCTATGAGGACGAAGGATCGGGATTGTCTTATTCACTGTGCACCCCTGGAGCCTACCACAGCATATGGCACAGAGCACTGACAGGATCAATGAGAGAACAAATAAACAAAGGCATGAAGCTAGCTGTGTCTGTGTGGCCAGCCCCTGAGGACTGAAAGTTTGATTTCCATTCATTTTAATTGGCTAGTGTGGTTCTGGATATGGATTGAGGACTACCTAATCAGGATCATGTAAATCCTGGCCTGGACTCTTACCCTTCTCCCAGCTCTCCACCCCTCCCTGCCTTCGCCTTGGAGTCAAACGCCCACCTGTTGTAGTAGACAGAAAAGACTTCCTCCCTCAGCACCCTCTGGGAGAGGATGTGGTCAAAGACAGGGGTGACCCCGCCGACGGCCTGAGCAGGGAAGCCCATGCCCAGGACCCCATCAAACTTGGCAAGCATGAAGGGTATCAGGGGCAGCTCTGTGACCTCTCCAAACGTCTGTGTCACAATGATTCCACCCACCTGTGCGGGAAGAACCAGAGGAGATGGAGATTAACACCCAACCCTGACTGAGGGTCTGCTCCGGCTTTCACAATACACAGGTTCTGAACAACAGTTAGGGAGGGTGAAACTACACCACAAGCCTGTGTATACTCTCTCAGCATAGTCTATGCTTAGGGCCAGGGAGATGGGGTTACCCAGCCCTGTAAAGACTGAGAAAGAGGTCCTCCCAGCCAGGTGAGCTTCACCCCTCCCAGAGGCCCATTTTCATGCTAGCCCCACCCAGGCCCAGGATTTCCTCATCCTAACCAGGTCCTCCGTTTCTGCCCCAGATTTCACAGCCACAGCGAGAGGGAAGAGCTCACACTGACTTCCCCTGGGAGTCTCTCTGTGTCTTTCCCTACCTCTGGCACAGCAGGGATGAGAGACTCCAGAACAGGAAGGGCTTAGACACTGGCAGAAAGAAAGCAAACCACACCCCGACACAAGCCCCTGATCCCCAATCTCAACACTCCAAGCCTGGTCTGAGCTGGTAAGTTCAGGCAGGTCACCAGGCAGGAAACTGTGGGATTCAGGCTCGCCCACTTGCAGGTTAGACGTACAGGCCTGCCCATCAGTGTCAGCCTGTTTGCTCTCCTGCATTTCTGGTCTTCGGAGCTTCAGCTAGAGGCTGCCAAGGAGGTGGCCCCTTCAACCTCCCAGGCTCCAAGAAGGGCTGGTGTAGACCCGCCCCACTCTGCATGGGCCCCATGGGTGTGTGTGGGGGGGTAAGCTACTCACAGTCACCACGTCCTGGCTGAGGAAACCTTTGACCGTCCCTGATCCATAGTAGATAGTGAATTCGGTCCCATTCTCCATGTAGCTGGAGGATTCTGAGGAGTCATAGAGGCTGTGGATCTCTAGCAGAGGGACACGGGCTCAGGTCAGCACAGGAGGCACTGACCTCGGCAGGAGGCTCAGAGGCGGGGCAAGTGGTGGACGTGGTTAAGATGGTTGAAGACTTAGCTCAGATGTGTGGGGTGTGTGTGTGTGTGTGTGTGTGTGTGTGTGTGTGTGTGTGGTAGGTGTTATGTTTTGGGGCAGGAAATTTAACTGGCTGGCCTTCAGGGGCCTTTAAGGGCCTGACAATATCCTATGTCACCACCTGTGTCCTACGTCATCCTCTGAGCCAGGTGCTCTGCCACTCCTACCCGCTCTCTGCCTTGGCTTCTTTCCCTTTCCCTGCTCTCTCTGACTTTCTCTCTCGAGGCCCCACCATGCTTCTCTTTCTCTTCTCCTATGCTCTCCCAGTGTCTCTCTCTGTCTCTTTTCCTCCCCCCAAATAAATCTCTTCTTATCAGATCTGCTGAGTGTGTGGCAGTTTTAAAATGTATCCTAACAGTATGTGTGGGGTGTATGTGGGGTGTGTCTGTGGTGTGTTGTGCCTGTGTCTGTGGTGTATGTGTGTGGTTTGTGTCTGTGGTGTCTGTGTTCTGTGTGTGTCTGTGCATATGTTGTGTATGTGTGTATGTGGTGTGTGTGTGTCTGTGTATGTGTTGTGTGTGTGTGGTCTGTGTCTGTGGTGTGTGTGTGGTCTGTGTCTGTG